AGGAGAATTGCCTGAACCCAGGAGGCGGAGGTTGCGGTGAGCCGAGATTGCGCCATTGCACTCCAGCCTGGGTAACAAGAGCGAAACTCCGTCTCAAAAAAAAAAATATATATATATATATATATTCTTCGTGAAACAGAACACCATAAATAAATCCGAACAATAAGCAGGGAAAAAAAATTGTTGCATGTAAAGGGCTAATTTCTTTATTTTTTAAAGAACTCTTATAAATCTATATTAAGAAAAAAAAAAAGACCAACCACCCAGCAGAAAAATGAGCAAAGGAAATGAACACGTAATCTACAGAAAAAGAAAGGCAGATGTCTCTAAAATCTGTAAGATGCTTAGCCTCATTATGGCATGCCATCTTTCATGACTCAGATTGAGATTTGTTTTAAATGAGAATATTCTATATTGGTGAGGCTGTGGGGAAACAAGAACTTTCATATATTGCTGGTAGAGAAATTGATGTAACCACCATGGAGAACCATTGGGTAGTGTTAAAATTTCAAATAAAAATTCCCTTTGCCCTAGCAGTTCCAATTCTTGGAATTTGTCTGATGGGTATCCTGCAACATGGTAAAAGCCATACCTGTGTAAGAATATTGCAGCATTGTCTGTCCTGGCAACAGGTTGGAAACAAAGAAAATGTCTTCCAGAAGACACTGGGTAAATCAATTGCGACTATCTCCAAGATAAGTCATCGGTTAAAAAAAGTAGAAGTGTAGAACTGTCCTACCACTATGAAAAGAAAAAAGGCCAGGCACAGTGGCTTGCCTGTAATCCCAGCACTCGGAGAGGCCAAGGCAGGCAGGTCACTTGTGGCCAAGAATTTGAGGCTAGCCTGGGCATTATGGCGAGGCCCCCATATCTACAAAAAATTAGCCAGGTGTGGTGGCACATGCCCATAGTCCCAACTACTCGGGAGGCTGAGGTGGGAGGATTGCTGGAGCCCACAAGGTTAAAGCTGCAGTGAGCCAAGATTGCAGCACAGCACCCTAGCCTGGGCAAGACAGCAAGACCCTGTCTCTACAGAAAGTTAAAAATTAGCCAGGTTGGACAGGCGTGAAGGTGGCTCACACCTGTAATCCTGGCATTTTAGGAGGCCGAGGTAGGCAGATCACTTGAGGTCAGGAGTTTGAGATGAGCCTGGCCAATATGGCAAAACTCATCTCTATTATAAACACAAAAATTAGCCCAGCATGGTGGTGTGCACCTGCAGTCCAAGCTACTTGGGGGGCTGAGGCAGGAGGGTTGCGTGAATCTGGAAGATCGAAGCTGCAGTGAGCCGAGATCATGCCACTGCACTCTAGCCTGGGTGACAAAGTGAGATCCTGCCTAAAAAAAAA